CGGATCTCTGTGAGTTCGAGGCCAGCCTGGGCTACCAAGTGAGTCCCAGGAAAGGCGCAAAGCTACACAGAGAAACCCTGTCTCGAAAAAAAAAAAATTATTTTTGTTGCTACTTCGTAATTGATATTCTGCTGCTGTTCTGAATTGTAATGTAAATGTCTAATATGCAGGATATCTGATATGAGACCCCTGTGAAAGGGTCGTTTGACACCCCCTACCCCCAAAAGGGGTCACAACCCACTGGCTGAGAACTTAAGCTTCTAGATGGAAGAAGTAAGTCACTAGAAGGTGAATCTTGGGAGTTATATTCCACTCTGTCTCTGTCTGCTATCTATCTATCTATCTATCTATCTATCTATCTATCTATCTATCTATCTATCATCAATCTATCATATCTCTATTAGCTATCATCTATCTATTTTCTATCATATCTCTATCATATCTCTATCAACATCTATTTATCATATCTCTATCATCTATCTACCATTTATTATCTATCATATCTCTATCATCATTATCTATCATATCTATCTTTTTTGTTTGTTTGTTTTACAAGACAGGGTTTCTCTGTGTAGCTTTGCACCTTTCCTGGAACTCACTTTGTAGACCAGGCTGGCCTCAAACTCACAGAAATCCGCCTGGCTCTGCCTCCCAAGTGCTGGGATTAAAGGCGTGCGCCACCACCGCTCTGTACTTGCAGTTGTGAGAAGTCTCAGCCTCACACTCCTACTGCCATGAACTTCAGCAGTGACGGACTGTCCCTCAAATCACAAACTAAAATAAATCCTTTTCCCCATAATTCGTTTCTTCTTAACTATTTTATCCCAGCAATAAAAGAGGTAACAACCCTAAGGGACTCACACCTGTTAAAAGGCAGAAGAAAGATACAAATGGCATGGGGTTTACTTTCTCAGAGAAGATAGTCTTTTTAAAAATGATTATTTATCCTTATTTTTATGTGCACTGGTTTTTGCCTGCCTGGATGTCTGTGTAACGGGTATCAGATCCCCCTGGAACTGGAGTTACAGACAGCTGTGAGCTGCCACATGGGTGCTGGGAATTGAACCCGGGTCCTCTGGAGGGGCAGTCAGTGCTCTTAACTGCTGGGCCATCTCTCCAGCCCTAAGAAGATACTGTTATAGAATTGGAGGTCAGCGAAGAAGATGGAACAGAAGCTGAACTGTGGAGAACAGGGCAAACCCACAAAGGCAATACGGGAGTGGGTGGGTATCCTGGCTGGAGACGGATGCAACTTAGGGGCTCCTATAAAAATCAATACATGCTACCATTGGGAGCCAAGGAAGACAGTTCATTTCGGGGCCATATAGGAGAGAGAATTAAAGAGGTATTTGAGAAAGACCTTCAATATAATTGAACTAAAAAAGAAAGTTCAATGTGACCCAGAAATAAGAAGAGAGTGTTATCTTAGAAAAAAGTGCTATCTTAGTAAAAAGGACTTTCAGCAGTAAAACAAATAAGTTTGTTCTGTAACCACTTCGTGGTCAAGTGTAGTTCTTTCTTTCTTTCTTTCTTTCTTTCTTTCTTTCTTTCTTTCTTTCTTTCTTTCTTTCTTTCTTTCTTTCTTTCTTTCTTTCTTTCTTTCTTTCT